GGGTGGGGAGGTGGTGGGAGGTGTTTGTTTACACTTTTGAAACTCCTTGTGGGCCCCACAATCGACAAATTGAGAAACGCTATGGGATTATTAAAACACTGTCCTTGTTAGCAACAGGTGTGGGTTCAAATTCCCAGAAGGGGAAATTCCATCTGTACATCCTACTTCTCACGTAAAAGCATTAACTCCCTGATCAGGTGGCACAATCATCTCCTCAGCATCTCCCATGCTCTTCAAAACTCTTGATTTAAAAGAAATAAGCAGTCGTGACTGCAGTTTCCAAAGGACCCTGATCTAGCATGCCACCCATTAACAAGAAGGAGCAGTTTCTAGAAGAAAAGCATGAAAGCTTCTCAATACTCAATTGTAAAAATGTTCAACAGGGTCTGAGCAATATATTTTCCAAAAATGAATCCTGTCAACCACCCAAACCATTTTAACTAAAGGGTTTTTTTTTAAAAAAGGCCCATCTGAAGCAGTTATTGAAAACAGACCTTTCATTTATTCCCCAAAGAAAACACCAGGTTAATCTTAATTCTGTTGACTGTTACCTGAGCTGCCCATGGAGTTATATCACCCTACTCCCTCCTCCTCCTGTCAAAGCTTCACCTCTTCCTGTATGTCTCTTTCTCACATTATCCTGCACACAAATTTTCACGTGTTTTCCCCAGCGCTGACTGTAATTCTGAGTTTCCCCCTCTTCACAACCACAGCTTCCCTCCTTCTTATTTGCTGGCTCCTGGCCAGCTTCTAGCCTGAGAAAAGTGGAAACAACCAGCAGGAGAAGCAGGTCATTCTGACAAAAGGGAACAGAGAGCGAGCAGAGTCAGAGAAGTTAAAGAGAAGAAAGATAGGTGAGATTTAGTCTTAACATAGACTACAGCCTCCAAACAGTGAAAAATCCACGTCTTGAAGTGTTATCCACACAGAACTAGAAAATCACCAAATCTTCAGGTAACTCTGACGAGGCTTTTTTTTTTTTCCCTCCTTAGAGCCAGTCTCGTTAAGAGGAAAACAATTAGACAGCAAAGAGAAAGAAGGAATTGAGAAACAAAAGAGCTGCCCGTATGGTTACTAATGCTTCTGACGACTTGACTGAAAGAAAGACAAACAACAGTTACCACAAGTGGGGGATGGTGTTTATGACCCTGCAGGCACTCGTGATTCACCACGTTTTGTTTAATCACAGCGAGCTACAAAATGCTTAAAGGTGCGATTAAGAATTTGGATTCCTTCTAGATTTTATTTCCCTCCTCCAAAACCTAAGCCATATCCTGGTGAGTTAAAACCCAATACAAGGGTTTGAAAAATTAGGGTAAAACACAACTCAGAGTTAAAATTAGAACGATCAAATAATGATGTAGCTGGGCAGGGGGAAAAAAAAAAAATCTTTTAAATTATATTCCTTTCTTTCAGCTGCTCCTGGGAACAACCATTTTGGGTAAGCAGTAATCACGTCGATGCTCCCAGACCCATGAGGGACTGCAAAAAAATGTTTTAAATTATAAAAGACAAACTATGGAGATCAGTAGCTCTTAATCATTCACGAAAAGTGCCAGCACTTTTTATAAGCCGATCTACAAACCAAAGTTCTCACACTAATTTTTTCCCCCCCCCTCCTTACAAAACTTGGAGGTCAAGACACTGCAACCTTTATTAGCGCAATTAAAAGCCTCGTTTTGTTCCAGAGAATTCTTTGGAACGGTTCCTCCAGGGGCATTCACCAAAAGCAGCAGCACAGCCCACTTGCTTCAGACTTCTTTACGCAAAGGACCCACAGCAGCATATTTTTAGAGCATCTGGCATGTTGGGAGTTAGACAATTGTTACCATTCAGTTCAACCAGTGGCACCATGAATCCCATTCAGCCTGTGTGCGCATGCCAGCTTTTCTTGGAGTGTTACACTGCTGCACCAACTACCAGTGTATCTGATTAAAATACAGAAAGTTCGCTGCCCAGTAATCTGCTTGGGAAAATAAGGAAAATCAGAGCTTTCTCAAGGTTGATGGGGAATTATTTGACTTATTTTCTCCTCCTCCCTACCTTAGTTTTTATATGTGGAGGAACCAAAACTCGACCCAGGCATTTTTTGATCCCTCAAGGACCAATACAGAACCATCAGAGTGTTGCAAGTCAGGTATGAGGGGCATTAGCCAGCTGTGGGAGAAAGCCTGCGTGCTGCCTGCCTGTATTATGTCTGGCTCAAATCTAGACAGTGTGTCTCACTTTTCCTGAGCAGTAAAAAAAAATCCCAACCTTACAAAAAAAGAAAAGTTTCTCTCTGTATTTGAACTACCAATACAGAACTGCTTGGAGTTTAGACTGCAATTAGCTTTGCTCCAGTTTCAGGGAGCCACCGTCAGCGCAAGGAAAGTATAATTTCAAAGACATCTGCCCTCACAAAGGCATTGTGGTGTGGGGAGTCCACTTGTTTTTTAAAGGATTGGATCAGTTAAAACATAACATGCAAACGTCAGAGTAAATGAGACAAAAAAGGTGTACGAGAAAGGTTTCTCAGCTCTGTGAACTAACTTTATTAAAAATCGTATATAAACTGGTAATAGTTCCATATGTTGCAAAATGACTGCAGTATTACCTTAAATGGAGGAGAATAGCCATCACTTTTCCAGTGTTTGAATAATCTGCCTATTAAAAGGCAGGGGAGGGGTAGAGGCTGGAGCTACAATTTCTCTTTGATTCCCTCTTAACCCTCACTTTCCAGAGTGTGACAAAGACTCTGAAACAGGCTTTGAAAGACAGCTGGAAGAAAAAAAAAATTTAATGCAGTGCTAAGTCACCATAAAGCTTCCCATGAAACAAAAGCAATCTTATTTTGCCATTGTTCCCCGTCTGGGGACATTCCTTCCAGGAGCCTGCCCACAAGCAAAGCGTTACACAGTAGATAGGAGGCGCCATCATTTCCATTCAGCAACAAAATAAAGAAGAATAGTCTCACCTTTGAGCAGCGCTCCTGTCTCTTAAACACACATTGGAAATCTGTGGAATCATCTCCACAACTTTCTTGGTTGGCTCGGAAATGCTGCTTTTACAATCTGAGTAGGTCTCCTTTTGCTGCAACAGCTCCTGTTTGGCATATTCTTTGAGCCTCTTGTACAGCGTGCGCAGGCCCTGTGCAGTGCGAGGAGGGCGATCTACTCCGATGGCATTGTAGTTATCGGCTATGATATCCCAGCATTTGTTTTTTTCCACTATTACAGAATGCTTATTGGTATGTTCCTCGAGAATTTTAACGTACGGCTTGACGAGTTTTAGCAAATCGAGCTTTTCAGATAAGGTAAAATTAGAAGATCTGGCCTTCCCCACCATTGTTAGCTTTGAATTAAGGAAGCCGTCTCTGAAGCCACCATGCAGTCCCAAGCTCTGCTCAGCTCCTTTTCACAAACAGAAAAAGATCAGGCTTAACTAGGCTAGTCTCATTTAGGCCCACGCCTACAAGGGAGGGTTTATTAAAATTCCTTCAGCTTAAGCTGACGCAGGTTCAGGAAATCTGCTTAAGCCAAGCCTGACCTACATAAGGCTTCAGCCTGAAGACGACGAGAAGAAACAAGCAAAATACACTTTTGTGTGAAGAGACCAGACACACGCAGGATTTAAAAACACAAAGGTTTAAAGATGAGCACGTCACCCTGCTAAAAATTACCTCATTTAGCTTGAGTAACAAGCTTCGACACATCTCCCTAATGCTCTCACACGTTATCTCAAACCGAAACCTCGCTCGAGATGATTTTTACACGTAACGACGTCCCCCAGAAAAGCAACAATCGCTTTGTGAGCGTTGCGGGGGGCGTGAGGCGCGGGCGGCGCGCGGGGATTGCTGCCCGCCGG